AGATGTCTCCTAATCAAGGCCTTTCTGTACAGGAAGCGAGAGATCTCATACACCAGAGAAACGAGCAAGGAGATGAGATACAGGAGATAGCTATGGGTTCTGCATCTCTACCTTCCAACGCGCCAAGACGTGCTCCACCAACATGTTCTAATTGCCATATTCAGGGACATATTAGAACTGGTTGTCCTACACGTCTAAATATATAGAACTCAATGAAATACACGTGTTTTGGTTGTTGTGTATAGCTTCAAGTTTTCGACCGCGGTCAGAATTCGATGTTGGTGTCCGGTTCGGTCGGGTGTCCGGTTCGGTTGGGAATTACGTTATAATTAGAAGACGCTTATCTAATCTGTCTATCTAATCCCAATCAACCACCTACTCCGGAGTATGGAGGATGCTGGGTATTTCTCATAGTATAGGTAGGTAACTGGAATTGAGACTATCATATTATCATACATTCATTGCGCGTTCGTCCAATGTAGCTATGACTATAATACAGTACATGCATTCCATTTCGTCCGGACGGACGGTGCTGGACCAAGGCACAAAAGTCAGCCTTCGCAGAATCACCCTTGAGGCGTAGTGCAGTCTGTCTGTCTGCTTTTTTTGCAGCTAGCTATTCTGCTATAGTAGCTGTTTCAGCAGCATGTCTGGTGGCGCTGCTCGGATTCTAAGATCCTGCAGATTTGTCCCGAGGACCCGCTAGCAGCTCAGACCGTGTAAAGTAATGTCAGGTCTGACGAGTAACAGTATTTCTGGGTTGTGACATCAAGTCTTCTCGGCTTCGTCTGCCAATTCTGCTTGTGCAGTCGGTGCCTCCTCCGCAGTTGACTCCTGCGTAGTTGATTCCCGCGTAGTCTGCTCCTGCGGCTCCTGCGAAGTCGCCTCCGACCCGCTGTTGGCAGACTGGTTCGTCGACAGCTCAGCAATCTGCCGCTCCAGCTCCCGAATCCGCATCCGAAGCATCTGGTTCTCGCGAGCCAACATGGCCGCCTCTGCCTGATAGAACGCACTCTCGTCCCGGCTGCCGCGACGGCCTTGTCCCGTCTGCCCCGACTGCCCCGACTCGTTCCCCCCGCCCAACCCCGACCACTCGGAGCTGTAGCTGGCATGCGCCGGATCAATCGCCGACGATGGCTGCGCCGATCCGGTGGGATGCAGACTGGGCGACGGCGCCTGGCTCGACGTCCGAGACCCCCGACGCGTCGAGAGCGACTGATGGATTTGCATCGACGATCGACTCCCCGGCACCGGGAGCGGCGGGACGGAGGGAAACGACGCCGACCGCTCCGAGTTGGGTGTTGAGTCGTCCACGACGGCGGTCCCTGAGCTTGCTGACTGTTGTTGCTGTTGCTGTTGCTGCTGTTGCTGCAGCTGCTGGAGCTGGATCTGTTGCTGGCGGATCATTTGGAGTAGTCGATTCTGCAGACACAGTTAGCTTCAGTTTCAAACACAGCACGACCGACACAGCTCGAGACATACCACTTGCGCCTCCTGCTCCTGCTCAAGCTCCTGGTGGATCTCGCCCAACGAGGGCGCGCGCTGGTGATGCGGATCGCCCGTCGCAATGACCGGGCTGCCTCCCAGGCTGGTCGGACTGGCGGTGCGGAACGCATGGCTGAGCGAGGACCGGTGCTCACTCGGATCCCCAGCCGGCTCGTTCAGGTTGAGGTGCATGCCGATGCCCGAACGACGGCGACTGTCCGAGATGGACGGTCGGCTGTTGCTGTTGCTGTTGTGCGGAGAGCTGCCATGGCCGAGAGATGGCCGGTGCGAGAGGTCCGCCGCAGCAGGGGGTCGTGGAGAAGGCGATCGGGTATTGCTGCTATTGTTATTGCTGCTGTTGCTGTTCCCTTCGACAGACGACGGCCAGTTGCGTGGCTGCAGAGGCGAGGACGTGGTCGAGCGGGATGGCGGGAGGGAGTTGAGATCGGGCGGCATGACGACAGGCAAGAGACCAGCTGGACGACAGGTGAATTGCCAGGATGGGAAGTGAAGAGGCGGAGTTGAAGCGGTGGGATGCAACTGTCCGGACTGCAGGCTCGAGACTCGCAGTCAGGCCGGATGAAGCTGCAGTCAACCTCAAGATCCGCCGCGGGGCTGTCATGTGACTAGCAGTCTGCAAGTCGTCGCCTCCAGACAAGATTGCGAGGGATGATGGATAACTGCGAGAAAGGTTACTGCAAGGGTATTACTAGAAAGAGAAATTTATACTCCCAGTCAGTGCAAGGCTGCAGACCGTGTTGGGGCTTAATGGCATACAGTCAACTGAAACTTCACAGCGAACTATATACCAGGATCCAATCAGAATTCCCCTCACAAATGCCTCAGACGTCGAATAGAAGCTGTTATTGCAGCAACCATCACTGAAGCATGTCTTACATGGAAACCTCAAGTAAGACCTGCTGAAATACATTTTACTTTTCTGACAAAAGACAGAAAGGGGAAAAAGACCTTTCGTAGCACCCTCTAACAGCTTAAATCTGACCTTTGCTTTGCTGCACTTTATTTTATTTTCATTGTTTCTATATAGTAGTAATAGTACAAGGCATGGTAACGTGTCAAGACGGGACTCCCTCATACTCCCATCCCTCAATCACCCTCTTCCTCCTCCTCGAGCTCCGCCGATTGGCGTTGCACTTGACAAACAACGTCAGCGCCGTGATGATCAAAATCACTATCGCAGCTATCGTCGGCACGAGGATGGTCCGCCGTTGGAGGTCGTCTGCATCCGGGATGTAGCCGCAGGTAGCATTTGGCCCTCCCAGCACCCAGCAATACTGGACATCAAGCGAGTTGAAGTTCACCCACACGCGCTGTTCGTTGCTGTCGCCCAGCAACGAAAATGCCGTCCGGTATAGATACGTATTCTCGAGGCCAGTTCGTGGCACGTCAAACGTAGTGTGTTCCGGACAGGCATTGGGGGCCGCGAAAAATGAGCCCTTGCTGGACGACAGCACCCACGAATACGGCGAGCCATTGACCCGGCAGGCAGCGCGATACTCATCCGAGCAGTTCCCGGCCCGCCAGTGGCCCGATACCGTGAGGTCCATGACCGCGCAGCGAAACAGTTCGTTCGTGTTATCCAAATTCTGGGTGTTGGCAAGCGCCGATATGTTCTGAGGCTCCCCAATGGCCCACGACCACGTCGACGACACCGACAGATTCCGGTACTGGTCGACGTTCTCATCGGCCGTCTTGCCGGACAAGGTCTCGTTGACCACCGGAGAGATACCGCAAGACGTGAAATTCTGCAGCATAAGCGACGCGTCCCCGAGAGCACCCGTCGTGAGGTTACCGTTAACAGTCAGACTCGCTGACTCGGCCCACGACGAGTTGACTCTGGAGACATCAGTTACGTGAGGTTCAAAGAAGCACCCCGACTGCAGGCCTACTCCATCTGGAGCTGGAGTGACGGTGACATTGGACGTGACATCCGCCGCCGGGAAGATGTAAGGACTGTCGCCGCTGAAATTATAGCCCTTCATCTGCGGATCAACGGACCCCCAGCCCAGCAGCAGACGCTTGTCCAGTACCGTCTCCAGATAAGATCCACAAGGCCATCCGTCTTGTGTGCTCTGAATCCCGTTCCCATCGGTATTCGTGACGAAGTAGGAGGAGAGGGGAATCAACCAGTCTCTGGTATCATGATACCACGACTCGTTGAGATTGCTCCGGTCCTGGGAGAGCTGATGCGGACTGTAGATGTACGTCTCAAGAGCATCGTTGATCACCGTCCCGAGAAGCTGGGATCCCGACGGGAGTTCTGCACCAGAAGGAGCAGGCGCTGGTTCATCAGGAGCACTCGCATTCGCGGCGGCGTGGAGGTTGAGTATAAGGTACATGAATTGCGCGCTCGTCGAGTCTCGCGTTGCTTGGAAGTACCCTTGCAAGACGTCTGTCATCGTTGTGATATTAAACGAGTCCGTACATGAGTAAGGGCCCAGCTGGTGGACCGAAGGCTGAGAGGATCCCGAGCTGGAAGAAGGGATGGAAACAGGACAGAACAGCCATTGCCGGAGTTCGGTGGACCAGTACAGATCGACGATCAGTCGCCGGTATCCGACGGTCAGGAGATTGGAAATACATAGGCAGCCAGCCTCGCCATCGTATCTGTTGTTTCCAAAGCATGCAGCCGTTAGGGAGACCGCGGGCTGAGGGACAAAGTTGATCGGGACCTGGCCGGACAAATCCCTCTGACTCTGCAAGACCGGAGTTAGTATAGGGTGGATAGTATCGCAATGCCATCACCAGGCTGGCCTACTCACCAGCAGCACCACCCAAAACGTATCATTGAGCAGAGAGTTGTTGGATGTATAGTGGCCAGACATGGGCGAACAGCGCTGGGCGGGGGTTCAGTGGTGTCAAGCATCAGGATCCTACACGGTGCCTGCTGGATAAGCAGCGCATTGCGTGGAATGAAAATCAGCCGAGCAACACGACAAGCAGAGGGCACGAAGGGACACACCCCTCATGGTGGGATGAATGGAGCAATTGGTGATGGAGCTGGGTGAAGTAATTTAATTCCGAGATGGTCGTCCTATGACGCGCGCGCCTTTCCCGTTCGGCTCTAATGTCCCCGATGAATCTAATCTGGCCTCTTCGGCGTGTTAGCTGGCCTCCGCGACACTTTCGATCTCCAGCACTACGCTGCACGCTCTGCAGCCTTCTTCCTTCGCCAGGTCAAGTCTATCTGCGGAATTTGGATCACTGCCGTATATTCTGCTGTGTTTTTTTCTAGTCCACAGTTCTTCCCACCAAGATGGCTGCCACTGGCCCGACCCCCCAGCAGATCGCGGCCCAGCAGCTGGCGGCTCAGCAGATGGCAGCGATACAGCAGCAGCTGGCCGCAGAAGCTGCCAAACGAGGCATGACGCCGGAAGAGTTCGCCAAAATGCAGCGAGAGCAGCTGGCTGCTGAGGCGGCCAAGTTGGGCATGACACCAGAGCAATACGTCAACCAGCTGAGGATGCGGGCTATCCAACAAGCCCAGCAGCAGCGACAAGCCCAAGCCCAGGCCCAGGCTCAGGGCCAAGGACAAGCACAGGGACAAGGACCAGCGCCAGGTCAGCCGCCTCAGCAGATGCAGCCGCAAATGCAGCAGGTGCCTGTGAACCCCAATAATCCACCGGATCCCAAGGCGATAGCCGTGGCCAAGTGGCTGCGGTCGCAGAATCTGAAGACTCGCACGTGTATTCTGGACGGGCAGAGGAAGGACATGTTTAAGGGTATTCTATCACTGATAGATCTCGTCGAACTGCCACCGACTAACAGGTTGTTCTTCTTACAGTGAAACGTGCTCTCCGCGCTCTCCAATCCCCCGAGTATGCCAAAGCCGCCGCAAAGCCCAAATCGCTTCTGCCACCTGTGACAGATAGGGCCTCGGCCGAAAATGTGTTCAAGCTTCTTCCTCTGTCGTTGCTCGCCTTGCGCGTGTCCAAGGTAGACTCGGCCCACACGCACGGCAAGAAACGGGTCAAGGGCCTGTGGACGGTCAAGATCGAGCAGCACCAGGAGACGGACCCGATGATGCACTACGTCTGGCTGTACGAGGGCCCGCAGTGGAAGCAGAAGGCGATGGCCGCCGCCGTCGTGGCCGGCATCTTCGCCGTGGTCCTGTTCCCGCTGTGGCCCATGGTGCTGCGGCAGGGCGTGTGGTATCTGAGTATGGGCATGATGGGGCTGCTAGTCCTGTTCTTTGCCATGGCCATCTTCCGTCTGATCCTGTTCTGCGTCACCGTCTTCGTCGTCCCGCCGGGACTGTGGCTCTTCCCGAACCTGTTCGAGGATGTCGGATTCATCGACAGCTTCAAGCCTGTATGGGGGTGGCAAGAGGTGAGTCTTTCGACAAGAAATTTATCTTTTTCTACAATTCTAATGATCCGGTGTAGAAAAAGAAGAAGAAGAAATCCAAAAAGTCTTCCAGCAAGAAAGCATCCTCCGAGGCTACTTCCAAGTCTGCTAACGGGGGAGCAACTGCAACTGCAACAACAGCAGCAGCCACTACTGCAGCAGCTACAGCTACAGCTCCCACAAGCGCTACGAGCACATCCGCAGAGAATCCTCAAGCAACTGCTGCCGATGGCGAGACGCCTACGAAACGTCCGCTTGCAGCCACCGTCGAAGATGCCAAGGAAGAATGATTTTCTTTCTTTGCATGTTGTACTAAATGGCTCTAACTTAAAAAAGACGTTTTAGTTGTTTTTATCGCTTTTGGCATGATCATATATTTGTGTTGTCAAAGGTGCTGCTGGGACTGGGGCGTTGTATTTTTTTTCTCTCTCACTTCCTCTTCCTGCTGTCTCTTTTTGCCTGCGTGCTGTCTGCTGTTCAATTGATATCAGGTTTTGTTTTTTAGATTCTCATACTCAATGAAATGGTGTGAACACCCTAAAAAAAGAAATTATCCTAAATCCTGTAATCTGCAATGAAATGAAATGAATGCATTCCAGAGAACGACCTGTGATGACCTGACCTGACCTGACCTGACCTATGGCAGACAGCTAATGTACAGTACAGCAACCACACAATATATATGTATATGCATTGCATATAATACACAAACCCAGCGGCCCCATGACAGTCAGTAGTAGTGTAATAGTAATGAAAGCTGGAAGGAAAGACCGTTATACAAAAGAAAAGGAAAAGAAAGAAAAAGAGAGGAATGTGGGAAGACCAGCCGTTTCAAAAGAAAAGGGCGAGAGAGAGAGAGAGAAAAGGAAGCAGCTCTTGATAGATAGATGGGTATATAGGTATATATCCATATCCAAATGGATATAAATGGCTGTAAAATAGATGACCTCCGATCTGACATGACATGGCATGACATGACATGAGATTCCGGTCTCAAGCAGATCGCATGGGTGTGCGCGTCTAAATGAAAAGGAAAAGAGGTAAAAAGGAAAAGAAAGGAAGGGCAAGCCTAAGGTTACATGACTGACTGACTTATAGCCGTCTGGATTTTCTTCCCTCCAGGTAAGAATCCACCAAGCAAGTCAATATATATTCATGCAAAGCCAAGGTTTCATTGATTGCATTTCATCTCCAGAGGACCCGGATTCAGTCCAACTCTTTCCGCTGGCAACCCGTTTCAAGAAACGGTGGGTATCTTGTGCCAAGCAGAACGATGCTGAGAAGCAATGTCCGGAGGAACTTCGGGCAACGGGCAGTCCGGCGGAGGCCCGACTGGGGGTCTTGAAAGGTTCGGTATGCTTTTTCGCGGTGACAGCTGCCCCGTTGAGCTGGGTGCTGACGCTTTTTGTTGCTTGATTGGTGATGCGACGATCTGAGTAGAATTCGTAGGGAATGCCTTGCTTGGTTTTGATCCTCCATAGACGGCAACATTGGATGGGCTCGGGAGCGGCTGTGCGCTTTCGGGTTGGGACCCTCGTCGTCGCACAGCAGTACCGTTTGTCTGCGATTTTGTAGGCGTGGTAAACGGGAACCGCACTGGAGGATTTGTTGTCCTAGATGGAGAACTGGGTTCACTAGGCTTGGGCAATTTCGAATTGGCGCGCGATGACTGAGGATGGATACCATTTCTTTGCTTAGCATCATTTTGCGGAGCATTTGTCTGTAGCGGCAGAGAGAGCTCCGGCGACCGGACTCTGCTGTAATATCGCTCCGAGGAAGCGAGCGATGGATTAGAGCTCCCTGTCCTTGGTCC